CATCCAGCTTGTTGCTCTAGAATCAGACATCCCCGACTGTTGTTCCGGCCTCTTCTCTGACTGTGGACTGGTCTCTGGCCCGGCTGGGCCTTGTTTCGTTGGTTCAAGGGGCTGGAGCATGAATTCTTGGCCCCTGCCCCTATCTTGACCCTCTCCCTCCGGCTTTGGCAATCACTGCCCCTTCACCTACCTTAATCAGACATCTGAAGCACTGTTCTTCATTTCCCCTTTTTCTGCCCATTAACTGCAGCCTATTAATTAGTGCCATTGGACCCCTGTAAGCTCCCTTCACTAACTATGCCTGGCATCTAGTGTGACTGTGCTTTAGTGTGGCTCTCCCTGAGAAGTGATTACAGATCTTGGCTGTGCTGACCCCCTGCTACAGCTACCCCGAGTAGCCACAGATTGGCCAGATGCTTCATCTTGATTAGCTCTTAACTTGTCCCTGTCTTCCTCTCTGACATCACTGGGGCCTGGCACTAAACTGTAGGTTAAAAAATTTCTCTTAATATTGAGCTCTTCTCCTTCGGCCTGTTCTCTGCATCCCTGGTCCTGCTCAGGGGCACAGAGAACAGTGTTGTGGGACTGGGGGTGGGCTGGAGTGATCCCCTCTCCTGTTGGATGGAGTCTCCCATCAAAACCTTGACCAGGGCCGGGGATTTAGCTTAGTGGTTCCGCTGTCTGCCTCACAAATGCAAAGTCGAGTTCAATCCCCAGTATAAAAAAAAAAAAATCCTTAACCAGTTGGTTCTCCATCACTTGACTATTATAGTTCACAGTGATAGCTGGGCGTGGTGGCACATGCCCATAATCCCAGCACTTGGGAAGCTGAGGCAGGAGGATCGCTGTGAGTTCGAGACCAGTCTGGGCTACATAGTGATTCTCCTAGTGAGTTCCAGGTCAGTCTCAACTACATAACGAGACCCTGTCTCAAAAAACAAAAAAGAACAAAAAACAAAACAAAAAAAACCAGATCACAGTGGTTTTGGTCTGTGCTACACTTAAACCTCAGCTTTGATGTTGGCTCCCTTTTTGTCTATTGAGCGTTTGTGTGAAATTACAAATCCTCAAAGCCCCGGCTCTTTTCATCTGTTTACTGTCCCGTGCAGGCTCCCTTCACCCTCATTCCTTGAAACTCCTCCAAACCAACTCGCCCAGCTCTGATCACTTCAGCACTCCACTGCTCTGCTCTGAGAAAGTTCTTATTTCTCTCTTATGTTTGACTCTTGGCCCCTCTTTCCTCTGGGATTCTGCTCGCATGCCCTGCTTCCTGTAACACACACACACACACACACACACACACACAGAAGCCCCATTGCTAGTAGGGGAAGGACATGATACCTTCTAATGGAACAGCCCTGGCCAGAGAGGAAACCGCAAGGAAATCAGCCTTGCTTGTTGCAGATGAAATGGAGTGTGCTGTGATGATGGATACAAATAGCAGTGACTGAGATCCAACCATATGCCAGGCATGGTGCTAAGCATGTTTCATTCTTCCAGCAGCCTCTTTTTTTGTTTGTTTTTTTGAGACGGGGTCTCACTATGTAGTTCATACTGATCTGGAACTCACTATGTAGCCCAGGCTGGTCTCGAACTCACAGCAATCCTCCTGCCTCAGCCTCCGGAGTGCTGTAATGACAGGCGTGCACCACCACCACCACCACCACACCTGGCCCGGCAGCCTCTTAACTAGCCCCATTTTCCAAATGAAAGTGCGGCCCAGGATCTTTAAGTAATTTGCTCCAGGCACACACACAGCTCTTAACTCCGTCAACCTCTACTATATGCCTCTGTGATCTTTTTTATTTATTTATTTTTTTCTGTGAGCTTTAAAAAAAATTTTTTTTTTTGTACCGGGGATCGAACTCAGGCCCTCGCGCTTGCAAGGCAGGCAGCAGAACCACTGAGCTAAATCCCTGGCTCTTTTTCAAAAATCTTGATGGCACAAAATCCTTTCCATCAAAGTGATTTTCTTCGGAAAGTCAAAGCCTCTGGATCACCCTGCTGCTCCTCCTCTTCCCTCGGCCCCAAGGGACTAAATGTGTCCCAGAGCATAGCCCCCACTACCACCCCGGGCACAGTTTAGTCCCGTCCTGTTTTGTTTTGCTTTGTTTTGTTTTGTTGGTACCAGGGATCGACCTGGGGACCTTGCACTTGCAAGGCAGGCGGCAGCACCACTGAGCTAAATCCCTGGCTAGTCCTGTCCTTTTTACACCTGGAGGCGGCAGGTTGAAGACCTGGGCAGCTTGGGAGCCTCTGCCACAGTTGGAAGCGACTGCCTACGTTCTGAGCTCACATCATCTGCTCCCACTAAGACAATCATCAACACGAAAGGCTAATTGTATTAATCACCAAGGCACCCATCCCAAGTCCCCCTCCTTTTTGGGAGAATTATGAATTGCGATTGCAGATGGCTCCACTGATTGAAGGCAGCGCTCAGCAGGGAGAAGGGCCAGATCAGATTACACACCATTAATTAAAAACTTCCCCTGACAAAGGGGAGGAAGAGAATGCACACTAAGGGCCCGCCTGGTTGGGGCTCTGTCTTCCCCCACCAGGCCCAGGGGCTGTGGCAGTGAACCTGCTTCCCCAGCCGGAACTGCTGAGATTTAGCTCATAAAGGCCAGCCCTTCCGTCATCCCAACAGATGGCCCGCTGTCCTATTAAAGAGCTCCAGAGAAGGAGAAGCTAACCTTTGGTGACTTACTTCTGCATCTAACCTTTGATGTTCTTCAGCCTTTCACCTAATTCCTCTTGTCTCAGAAAGCTTATCTCTAGGTCGAGTCTACCCTGCCCATGGAACAGTGCTCAAGAACTGTCAATGGAAACAGGCGGGCCTGTGGCTCCCTGAAATGCCTCTGGCCTGTGTGTTCTGGGACAGAGGTTGCCAGGGCTGTTCCTGAGTGGTGGGTGGAGACTCAGATGTCTGGCCAGGGCCCTCTTCCCGCCCCTTCCTGGAAGCAGAGGTTTCTCAGCTGCTGTCATTTTGGCTCATTGGGAGCTGTAACCCCTGAATTTTCCTCCTCTTGATCAATTACTGCCTCCTGCCCCTCCCTAGACACCTAGCCCCCGTCATTCATCAAACTTTTATTGAGCACTCGGTGTGTGCTTGGCTCTGGGGATGCAGAGGTCATTTGTCAAGAAGCTTAAGCACCCACTGCAGGAACTCAGCACCCCTTCAGCCGGCTGGTTCCTGCCTCCTTTCTGTGCTGCAACTTCTGTAAGCCCCCCTGGAGCTCTAGAAACTTCTTTGCTAGGAGCTGGGGAGATCTTAGGGGTGTCTGTGACTGTGCTGAGTCACCTTCAGCAAGTCACTCATACACACACACACACACACACACACACACACACACACACACACGCACACACATAGCTGTCCCTGCACAGAAAAAGAAAAGGGCACAGGAAGCCCTGGGCTCTGAGCGATCACAAAGACAGATGATTGGGACCCGGTGGAGAGATGTGACAAGTGCTTGGTACTGACAACAGCATGGAGTGTAGAGTGGCTGCTGGGGCCACAGGCACCAGGGACTCAGCCGTTGCACTGCTCACAGGCTGAGCCTGTTACCCCACCCTTGGAAGCCTTGGGTACTCCCTCCCCTCCTCCTCAGCCCCTTGGGAGACATCATGCAAGAGGACCTATCTTTTTTATGGATTTGGCTGCTGCATCTCAGGGTACCATGGTGATGGGCACCATAGAGATGAGAAGAACTGACTTTTATTGGTTTGTCTCTTCATTCCAGGGTCCCACCCCCAGCCCCCACTCTCAGCAGACCCAAAAGAGAAGGAGGCAGGGGCCCTGTTAAAGTAAACACAGCTACAGACAGCAAATCTTGCTTTTTTCCCTCCCTCTCCCTTCTTTCCTTTTCCCTCACATTACCAACAGCAATTGTATTCAAACCCAGTAATTACACTAACAGCAACAATAATCATCATTTATTGGGGTGGTTTTTCTAGCATTTTAACTCCCAAAAAACATTTTCGAATCTCTTGCTGTTTCGCAGCAGTCCTGGGGGAAGATTGTGCCCATTTTACAGCTAGGAAGCTGAAATCCAGTTAGGACTCCAAGTGTAGATTGCAGCAACCTTTAAATTTTAAGAGACCAATTCAGACACCTTAGTCCCTTGGAGGCTCTGATCCTTGAATCTTGGTCTCCTGGGTCATTTCCACATTTCCACTGTCCCTAGGTCTTATTCAGCTGCTTCTCTGGGAATCCTGTGATGCTGAGGCTAAGGCTGGAGAGGCTTCTTGTGGCCCAGGCCATGAGCTGAGGGCAGGGATGGGGATTTCCTCCCCTAGGGTTGCTCCTCCGCCTGGTGCAAACTCTGGTGGGCAGCCTGCCCTGGGACAAAGCTTCTTTCCTATATCCTGCCCTTTGCCAGCTGAGGGAAGGTTCCTGTCAGCTCCTTCCAAGAGTGGGCACCCTTGTGAGCACCGGAAGGAGTGAGGGGTGAAGACCCTTGGGAGGGTGAACTCTGTCCTCAGGAAGCCCCAAGTCTGTAAGGAAACCACAGCCCCAAACTACCCACAAGGGCAGAGGATCCCTCTGAGGAGTTCAGGGTCCATTCTGAGCCAGATCCTTCAGGAAGCCTGTCCTCCTCCACTCCCTAAAGGCTCTCTAAGGTCCCCTGGTTAGAGTCCAAGAAGAATGACTTCCAGGGCTGTCATTCCTTTCCCCCAAGACAAGATCTAGAGGACCAGAACCCCCACTGAGTCTATCTGGGTGTGAGAAGGGAGAGCATCATGCAGACCAGTGCCCTTCTCTGTTCTGTCCCATTAGGAAATGGGGAAGGCCTAGTGGAAGGCAACTAGATAGACTTACTCCAAGATTTATTCTAACTATACATGTAGAAGACGAGCATGTGCAGCACGCCTATAATCCCAGCTACACAGAAGGCTGAGGCAGGAGGACGGTGAGTTCCAGGCCAGCCTGCACAACCTAGCAAGACTTCATCTCAAGATAAAAAGGGCTCACTCAGTGGCACCACACCTGCCTCGCAAGCACAAGGTCCTGAATTCGATCCCTGGTACCAAAAGAAGAAAAAAAAAGCTAAAAAGGGCTCAGTGGTAACGTCCTTGTCTAGTGTGAGTGAAGCTCTCCATTGCCATTGCCATTTTTAAAAAGGAAAGAAATGTAATGCCAGGGTTAGGGATTGGCACCCCCAACCCAGCCCACCCTGCAGAACGAGCGACCAAGCCTCCTACTCCCCGCTTCCCGTCCCCTCACTGGGAAAGCACGAGTCGGGTCAGGCAAGCACGCTGCCCGCCCGCAGGGCCCCTGTGCAGTGGCCTCACACGCTCACTTCGGTTTCCCCTGAACTGGAATGAGAGTCTTTCTTCTCAGGCTCCACCTCTACCACTTTCTCCACCTCAGTGGTGCCCATGAGGATGGCCAGGCGCTGGGCCAGAGTCTTGGGGTCAGGGAACAGGATAAAGTTGTAGATCAGCGAAGCCAGCACGGCCCCTGTCAGGGGTCCTACCCAGAAGATCTGAGGAGACAGAAGCGCGTACCCATCCATGAGCCATCAGACTTGTAGGGTGGCTTCGGGACCCTGCCCACTCCCTAGTGTGGACTTAGTCTCCCAGGAGCTCCCAAACTGCCTCCGGGATGGGAGTTGAGAACTACCTCCTGAGCCTACGAGATGAAGGGACCTTGCCTTCCGTGCAGCCAGCCTCAAAGCCGTGGCAGGGCAGAGGGAGGCCAGGCTCCTCTCCAGCTCCTGCCTTTCCCTCTCTCTTCCCCGTTTCAGCCAAGTTCTGGCTACTGCTGTTTCTGTCTCTGCTGGTATGTGTGTCTATTTCTGTATGTCTTTTTCCTTATTCAAGTTTGAAAATTGGTCCAGCTGGAGAAAGTGAAGAAAGAAATAGCCAGAACAGAAAGCTTGGGCCAAGGCTGCAGCTCCTGCCCTGGCCCGTTTCTCCCTAGTTCACTAAGTACCATGGGCTACTGGAGGTGAAGAGAAAGAAGTACAACCTTCCGAGCCTTCTGCCCTTCCAGGTCTGATGGCCTGGGGTGGGGCTTGTCTCCCCAAGTCTCTGTGTACCCAGGCTAGTAAAACCCACTGGGCCCACTGTCTCTGCCCAGGCCCTCTCCCTTCCCCATGGCGGTCAGCAGAGGGTCTCACCCAATGGACTGCGAACTTGCCAATGATGACTGCAGGACCAAAGGAGCGAGCTGGGTTCATGGAGCAACCAGTGAAGTAGATCTGGGGAGCAAATGCAGGGTCAGGGTAAGAGGAGGCTTGGGGAGCCCAGGAGGAGACAGGCCCCTTTCCCCTGGCTCAGAGCCCTCACCCCAGCCCCACTTTACTGCCTCATATCCTGGGCCTGGGATGTGAGGTATGGGTCGCTATCTCTACTCCAAAACATGAGGGACTCAGGGAGAGAAACTTCCTGGTCTTCAGGGCCCCAAGACTTCCCCGGAAAGGGCCCAGTGTGTGCAGCTGTGCAGTGTCCCCTTTGCCTCTTACCCCGATGAGATGGCCCAGCGCCACAGAGGTCCCAATCATGGCAGCCGGGGAACCCAGTGTATGACGGCTATCCGTGGAAGCAAAGACACAGAGCACCAGCTGCAGGGTCAGAATCAGCTCCACTGCCACTGCCTGGCCAGTCGAGGTGCTGTTCTGGACCTTGGCAGAGGGGATTATGCAGGAGTGGACATGGGCTCTGCCCACAGGATGGCGAACCCCTGGGTTCATATCCCGGGATACTTGCTCCCCACAGAAGGGCGTGGCACCTCTCCTGCCCTGCTGATTGACTGGAGCCAGTGATTCAGGAGTGGACACAGGAGCTCAGGACTGGGAGGAAAGAAGGCTCAAGATGCTGGGGGTGCATGTTTGAGGGTAGAATGGGAGGAGACCGACAGGCAGGAGTGGAGAGAGGAGACGGGCAAGCAGGTGGAGCAGAGATAGATGCCTAGGGGGCTGGGGAGGTAGTGGGGGCAGGCCTCGGGGCACTTGGGAAGGGCAGGACCTGGGCAAAACGGGGGAGCGGAGGACATGGGTGCAGCTTGAGGAGGAAGCAAGAGTCTACAGCAGCCCCTCCCTCCGCCCGAAGTCCCAGCCCTTTCTTGGCTGTGCCTGTCCTTAGATGTCTGGTCCTTCTCCCTTCTCCGTCTGTGCTCACACCACACTCCCATTGCTGACCTGCCTCAGTAAAGCCACCCTCTGATTCCCCTGGGTCCCAGGGCCCCCTGGGAACAGGTGTGGAACTCACGGCTGGACTGTCAGGTCTGGCCCTCCACCCTTGCCTCCTGTTTGGACTCCCTCCTGGCCCCGACGGTGCCAAGCACCTGCCAGACGCCTCTCCTTGCACCTACCACATTGATCCCAAGGGTCCCTCGGACGTCTCCAGGAGTGAGCCCGTACAGCAGGGCAGCCCCCACAGTGGCCCCGGCCAGCTGGGCAGCTACATAGGCCATAGCCCGAGGCAGGGAGATGTGGGAGGCCACAAGGAAGGCCAGCGTCACAGCAGGGTTGGCATGGGCCCCGCTGGTCTTCCAGCTGACCTGCACCGCCATGGCTGTGGCCAGATTAAAGGTGATGGCGACCTGCAGCACAGAAGGAAGTGCTGAGGGCCAGCGCAGGACGGAGCCCACACCAAAGAACACATACAGTCCTGTGGCCAGGAACTCGGCAAACAGTGCCTTGCTGACCGCTGTCCAGAGCCGGCGCATCAGCATGCTGGCCCCGTTCCACAGCCCTGACTCCATGCCCTCTTGCCTGGTGCCCTGGCTGTCACCTTCCTTTTCTTCAGGGGCTTCTCTCCTGCCTCCCCTGGTCTCTTGTCGCTGCCTAACTCTGGCTGCCTCACTGTGGCGGCTTCACCAGCCTCACTTGCAGCTCTTCCACGGCTCTGCTGCCCCAAGAAAGGAGCTGGTCACACTGGCAGGACACGGCCTGTCCTGCGGCGGGGTTATGCACGTCCGGGTGGGCATGGGAGGGCTGGTGCTCACGTGCCTGCTTCACCTTGAGCTCACTTGATGGAGGGTGGGTAAAGCAGCGTCCTTGGGAGCTGAGCTGGAACCTCCCAGAAGGTTTTCCAGGCCACTGCCCGCCCAACTCCTGCTACCAACAAAGGTCTAGCCTGAGGGCTGCAGGCACAGAGGAGGCAGCACAAGATCACTGAGACCCTCCAAGCCCAAGGCCTGCTTTGAGGGCTCCCGCTCTCCTAACGCCCTCTGTCTCCAGGCTCTGCCTCCAACTAGGCTGAGCCGATTCTGCACCCCATAAACCCAGATGTGAAATTAAGCTCTCTCCCCCACTCACAGAATGCAGATGTGAACAGTCAGCTCTACTAAGGGTGTGAGCATGGGACAGTGGAGCCACTCACCCTGTGCCAGATGCTACACAGGGCTGTCTGCCAGTGGGAACATCCCCCTCTGAGCCCCTTCCTCTCTGCTCACCCCCTTCTCAGCGCCTTCCAAATTCCTGTTTGTTACGTTAGGCAGTTTAACCATTTTTGTGGCTAAGGTCACCCATGCCTAGGTTTTCTCCTTTTACCTCCCAGCATTCCATCAAGACATTTTGCCAAAGATTGTTCCTTCTTGGGCGTGGTGGTACACCTGTAATCCCAGGTACTGGGGAGACTGAGGCAGGAACATCACAAGTTCAAGGCCATCCTGGGCAACAAGGAGACCCTGGCTGAAAAGAGAAAGGGCTGGTGATGCAGTTCAGTGGCAGAGCACTTACCTAGCATGCATGAAGCTCTGGGTTTCATCCCTAGTAATGTAAAAAAAAAGAAAAGTGTTTCCTTTTTAAGAAAATTTGCGCGGAGATGTTGAAATAATACCCACATCTGGGAGCCTTCACCTTGTCCCTGGCCATATCTACCTGCCCATAGATGTCTGCTGGTTGTCCTTGGGTCCTCAAATGAAACCTGTCTTAAAACGAGATCCTCCCTCTCCTGCCCCCACTCCTTGCACTCCTGGCCGCCTGCTCACCCTGTAGTGTTGGCGGCATCTGGGAAGCACCCTCAACCCTTCTCTCCCCCTCCCCCATACAATAAAAGCATTGAGCCCTGCTGATTTAAGGCCCTACATATGTCTCTACGGTGCCCTCTTTTTGCCACCCTGAAGCCTTTAGCCAGTCTCTGCTCCACTCCAATCAATTCGCCACACTGCAGCCTGAGTGATCTTTCCAAAATGTAAATCTGATCTGCCGCTCCCTGCTGAAATCCCCACAGAGCCTCCCATCCCTCTGGAAGCCCCACACCTGGCTGACAAGTCCTCTGGGACCCTGCTCCTCCAGCCTCCCCTTGCCCCTCAGCCAGCCTTCTGAGCCCTTGCCCTCTGGCCTCCCAGGTGAACTCTGCCGGTCTCTCCTGGAAGGATGCTCTCCCCTCTTCCCTGTTCAGCTCGGGAAACTCCTACCCCACTCCTAGGGCATGGCGCTGTTCTCCCGGGGGAGGCCCCGCCTGGACAGTTTCACACGGTCACACAGGGAGTCTCCCCGACATGGCAGTGCGCCTTAGGGGGCAGGAAGCACATTTTGTTCCTCTCTGCCCGTAGTGCCTTGCATAGGATGGACTGTAGTAGGTGCTCGAACAATGACTGTCGAATAAGGGCATGAATGAAAATTGGGCCTCCCAGATGACTTTCATCCATGCTGCCTAATACCTGTCCTCCCCTGGGACGGAGCCCTCTGGTGTCTTCATGGGAAACATCCTCTCTGCACACAGGCTCTGCCATCTGCCTCCCCCGTCTCTCCCAGTACAACCCCGCTCCCACCCCTCTGCTCCTCTAGCGATCGTGGCTTCTTCCTCCCCTCTCCAGAGGACCCCTTGGCATCTCAAGCTGTGCGTGCTCCGGCCAGTGCCCCAGTGCCGGCTCCTAGCTCCCTGCTCTCTCCACCCTGCCCCGGCTGCACTGCTGATTCCCGTCCTCTCAGAGCCCATCTGGCTCAGCCATCTTCCCACCCTCCGGGGTCTACTCCACCTCCCTCCTTCCTCAGACCCCTCCCATTCTCTCGCACCCCCCGCCCCCGCCCCACGCTGGCTCTTAGGCAGCGGAGTGCAGGTTTACTCCTTCCATCCCTCCCAGAAAGCAAGCCAGTGTGCAGACCTCTCCAGCTCCCTTTCTGGCCCTCCTCCCCCTTGGCCGGCACAGGTGTGTACTGCTTGTCCCTCTCCCTCTCACCCGCAAGCCCCGGCCTCCTCTGCCCCTGGCTCTTCTCACCCCTGCTGTGACAGCCTTGTGTGTTGGTGGCCTCCATCCCCCAGAGACTGCACTGGACATGGCCGTCAAGCCCCAGCCTCTTTCCCGGACTCCAGGTCCATGCAGGCTCCCTGCCGTACCCTCTGGCTGCCCCTCCCTGAAAGGCCCTGCCATTTACTCAGTTCCCCGGGCCAGAAGTAGGGACCATCCAGATGCCTCCCTTTCCCTCCCACCAGGGGGTGGCCAGGTTCTTGTGCCTGGCTGACACCTCTTCCCATTCCTATTTGCCCCTGGCCCGGTTTGAGGCCTTATCTCTCTCAGGATGGCTTCTGACTGGGTTTGCAAGCTATGCTGCGTTCATGCCCCTCCACACTGCTCACCTCTACTGTGGGAGATTCTTCCAAACTGCGGCACTGGCCTCACTACTCCTCCGCTTGAAAATCTCCACTAGCCTTCCCTCGTCTCCGATTCCTGTCTGAACATCCTGCCTAATGTGCATGGAAAGACCCCTATAACACGCACTGCCTCCTCCAGCCAGGCCAAGCATTTATAGTTTCCCAAATGGGCTTCAGAGCCTGCTGCACGCAGCACCTGGGATGTCTTTCTTCAGAGACTCTGCTCAAGTTGAGTCCTCTGTGAAGCCGCCCTGAGTTTCTTCCCCAGCAGAATCGGAGCAAGCTCCACAGACAAGACGGGCTTAAGCAGAGCCAGGAGCCAGCAGTGGCCTCTGCCCCCTCTGTGCCTCTACCCTGCTGGTGTAGACTTCCAGCCCTCCGTGTGTGGGCAGGAGGAAATGTGCCGATGCCCAGGAAAGGGCAGGACTCAGAAAATGCGGATTAGAATCATTGCAACTGTCCTCCAGGGAGTCAGGTGTGGGTTCAGCTGAGAAGAGTCCTGGTTGCTGGGGCAGGTCTGGGACAAAGCAGCACCTGCAGTCCCTGCTGTAGGCCTGGGAGGCCAAGAGCACTAGGTGAACGGCAGCCCTTTGCCCCAGTGAGCCTGGCACAGAGCCTCCTTGGGCCCTACCTGGTCTGGGACAAGGTCCTTCACCCCCGGGGGCAGGTGTCCACTGACCAGGGCTTGTGCCAGCTCTGGCTTTACCTGCCCCAGCCAGCACCTTCCTAGACCCAGCCAGTCCCAAGCTCTTGAGCCAGGCCTCGAGTTCACTCGTGAGCAGAGACCTTTCGCAGGGTCCCACACCTGGCTGCCCATGGCTGCCTGTCCAGCTGAGTTCCGGTTCAGCCCCTCTCAGGGATTGAGGAAGGGTAGGGAGAGCAGGAAAGGGGAAGGAGGAACAGACTGGGAGAGGATGAGAGAAAACGCAAACATGACAGGAAGGGAAGGAGTTCAAGGGGGCTTCTGAGCACCATCCCACTGATCCCTACCAGAGGGAAAGGCTTTGAAGTCTGACACCTTCACCCACACCTGACAGATCAGGGAGCTGAGGTGGAGCGAGGCGGAGGAAGCAGATCTTCTCAGCAGTCTCTCCGATCTGTTCATGTAATCAGTCAATCTCTGTCCATTCTCCACATTTCTCTCCAGTCTTCTTCCACTTCTCCTTCACACCGTCACGTTCACCTTCCACTAGTGAAATGTGGCGGCCCCGAGGGGAGGAGCAGGGGGGAAGGGAGGGGAAGAAGCTGCTTCGGGAGAACCTAGGCTCTTTTGCGTTCGTTTTTCAGGTGAGGCAAAGGGTCAGAGAGGAGCCTGAGCCTGTGTGTGCTTGGGGACACACACGTGTGCGCGTCTCTGAAGGCACCTGGAGCCGGGTTTCTAGGCCTCTTTCCTGAGTGGCCTGAGTGGCCCTGTGAGAGTGAGTGCTAGCGCAGGGTTGCTGAGGGTCTGCACATCTGAAGTGAGTAAGGGGTACACACACACCGAGATGCTTGCCCTGGGGTTCAACCGAAGGTCACTGTGAAACGGGGAGACCCTGAGATGTGTGGGGTTAGTATGTGTGTGCTCATGCGTACACAGATCTTTCTTTGTCAGCCCACAGACCTGGCGGCTCGTGGCAGACCACACACGGGAGCACAGCGCCCCCTGCTGGTAGAAATACCCCCAGTTCCTGAAATTTGTCAGCCTGTAGCCCTTGTTAGGCCTTCGCCCAAAGGCAGGGCAGGGGTCATTCGCAGGAAGCCTAAAACCTCTAACTCCCTCTGACAGGATGTCTCCCCCAGCCCCAACGCTGTCCCTCAGGGGTCCACCGTTCACTCTGTCACGACAGGCGTTGGATCCTGTCAGAGAAAGGAACAAAAGCCCCTGGGTTGAAGAGAGAAAGGGCAGAGTCCCAGTCACCATCGTGCTGGTTGGTACCTGAGTCTTTAGGAGCTCGGGGTGGATGTGGGTGGGGGAGGGTTTTCTTCTCTTCTGCACCTGCTCCCAGGTAGAGAGGTGGGGTGGATCAGGGACAGGCTACTTCTTGGTGGCCCTTTGGAACCCAAGCCGAGAGATTCCTTGGGTCCTCCACTCCTATCCCCGCCCCCTACCTGGCTAGGGGCCAGCTCCAGGACTCGGGAAGCACAGGCTGTGGATTCGATGGACGCGGTCTCCCCCTGCTGGCAAGAGTGGGTACTCACAGCCTGGCTCCTGCCTTCCTGCAGCGGGTTGCAGAAGAGGGATGCAAGGTGAGGGCAGGACATGGGCGAGGGGCCCCCGAGGGTCTCACACACAAGCTCTGCCACGTGGTGTTAACCGTAAGCCTGTGAGGCAGGCAGGCCAGGGTGGCTGCAGAGCCCCTCCACAGACAGCTGTGGAGGAGGGCTGGGTGGTCTGTGCAGGCCCCCAGGTCTGGAACTTCTCACCCTTGTGAGAGCATCTCCTGGCCCGGGGAGTCCCTCCTCTTCAGGGATAAAACTGAAGGTCAAGGGGAGAGACTCCCATACCAGACAAACAAGAGCACAATACAGGAACTGTCAGGAGGGCAGAAGCGCTGGCTGAGGGCAGGCAGGAGTGGGCCTTGCTGTTCTTTCCCACACTTAGGGTATAAGCATTCACTCACCGAGGTGCCTGGCCTGTGCATGCCAGCATTTCTCCTCCACCCATTGTCTTGTTTTCTCCTCACAGGAACCCCTGACCCTGGTAAAAGTATCCCTACTTCACAGATGTGGTAACTGAAGCTCCGACAGCTTATGTTACCCAAAGTTGCACAGCAAGATTTGAACTTGGGTTACCTGCCTCCAAGATGGACTCCTTGACTCTGTCGTGAGCTGCCCATTATGCGGCTTCCTCCCTTTCCTCACAATGATCCAGCTAGTCCCAGGCATCTCACTCCTTCCTCTCACCTGACCCTTACAACTGCCCTGTGGGGAAAGCACTTTTATCCCCATTTCACAAGAGATAGAGTCTCAGAGAGGCTGGTGGAGTTTCCTGAGGAGTGTCTGTGGCAACCGGAAGCAAGGAGGCAGTCAGAGAGGAAGACAGTGGCAATTTCTGGGCAGAGGCAGACCTGGGGAAGGGCTGGGCCGGAGTAGCTTCTGTGTCATACTTGAGAGGAACAGGGGTTGCTCCTTCTGAGCAGAGGGTCACAACACGTCACCTTTTTGACACCCTGGGATGCAGAGAATGGAGCTCAGGCTGTGCCTCCTCCACACGACAGAACTTGTCGGATCACCCCTTTGGCATCTCAAGAGGCTGTGCTTGTTCACTTCTCCTTCACCATGCCCGGTACACTCTGGCTCTGGGGCCTCCTCGAGTGTCAGGGACTTGACATAGCTGAGGGGAAGAGGGGAGGGGCTGGGGCTGATGACACGAGTGAGGACCCCTCCTTCTTGCTTCCACTGCCCCCTCCTTCCTTCCTGGCTTCTAGTTCTACTTCTAAACGTGGCCATCTTTTCCAAAAACATAGAACAATTAAGTTCGTCAACCAAGGTACTATTGTATTGGTCTTTCTCTGCTCTCTCTTGGGCCCTCCCTGTCTGGCTCATCCTCTAGGCCTCCCTTGGCCTCAGCTTCCCTTTCTTTGCACAGAGAAGTTGTCTTGGAGTCTCTTTGTACCCTGTGAGGATTATGGAGAAGGGTATTAACAAAGAGATGGGCCAGAGTATCTCAAGAGGCTTCTGGGAAGAAATGCAGGCAGAACGTGAGGATCAGTGTTTTATTGGGAGTTCCCAACCCAAACACCAGCAGCCCCATTCCAAGCATCCTTGTCCAAAAATAAATAAGGTGGCATTCAAGGAAACAGCCTGTCTCCCCGCTAAGGTGCTCTGGGGGAGGCCTGAAGCAGCCCCCCAGGGGCTGGCTCTAGCTCTCGAGGGGTTAGGGAGAGTGGGGAAACAGACACAGACACACCTGTCCGCCCTAGCCCAGGGGCAGCGTGAAAGTTTGGCACTGCCTTTAATTTCTGATGTCTGACATTGCAGCAGCACAGTCTGCCCTGTCCCAGAAAAACCTGGCCCCCACCAGACTCCAGCTCTGGCCCCTCCTGGAGCAGCCCATCAGCTCCTGCTCCTGTCTCAAACTGTGCAGCCTGGGGAGCCAGCACCTTCTTCCCAGGCAAGAGGCCCAGCTGTGGGGAAGGAAGCTTTGCTGTCACGTTTTTCTTCTCTTTTTCTCTCCTGTGATTTCCGTGCCTGCCTGATGCGGGTCAGTGGGCAGTCAGCTCGATGGTCTTCTTGCGCTCCTCACGCCGCTCTTCCCAGTCGTCCTCTGGTTCATACGTGCCCTTAATGATGGCCACACGCTCGCTGAGGCTCAGGGAACGGGGGAACAGCAGATAGAAGTAGAGGATGGCAGCCAGCATGGCCCCCACAATGGGCCCCACCCAGAAGACCTGGTAGAGACAGGGCAGCTGTTACAGGATGAGCCTCAGGCTGCAGGGACCGTGACTCCCAACCTCCACCAGCAGACAGACCCACGGACCCCTGGAGGAGGAGACGGGCATGCAGAAGTCCAGGCCTCCAAAAGGAAAGATCTCTCCCCACCTTGGGGACAGACATCTTGACCCCTCTACGCCTCAGGGCTAGACACGGATCACAGACCCTCAACGGAGGCATACAGATCCCACAGGGACAGCCCCTCCTATCACACCCTAAAGAGGAACATGAAACCTTCAGAGGGGACACACATACAGATTCTCAGAGATGGCCAAGATCTCCCCTCCCCATAAAGGTAGTTCCTGCAGCAGTAAGCACGAGCTATCAAGGGAGGTGACAAACCGTGCAGGGGGATAGATCCACAGGAACGCCCACAGGATCCAGAAAGGCTGCTGGCTTTTCTGGGCCATAGCCAGGTTTTCAGGCCCTTGTTTCCAGGAAGTCAGAGAAGGATTCAGACTCACCCAGTGCGAGGAGCTGAACCGTTTCATGACCACTGCGGGGCCAAAAGAGCGGGCCGGGTTCATGGAGCAGCCAGTGAAGTAGATCTGGATAGACCGATGAGTGGCAGTGAGGGAGGCCGTGTCCCCGCTCACCCTCAGAGGCTAGGCTCCCCCAGCATCACGCAGAAGTGCAGGGGTTCGGCCTGGTCTCAAACTCAAATCTCCCGATTCCTCAGCTGGTGACCTCTTCTTCCATGGACCCTGGCTGTGCACTCAACCATGGAACCCCACCCACACCCTCCTCTCCGCCCACCCCCGACTCCTGTCTTTCCTGAGTCCAGAGAAGTCTTGGGGCCCAGCAGTCTTCAAGACTCTGCTGGGAGACTCACCCTTCCGGAGGGGATGCCCCCTGGGGCTCCTTTGCTTGCCCTGAGTGGCTCCCCCAAGTAACGCCCCTGCTGAGTGTCAGCTCCACTCACCCCAACAAGGTGGCCCAGCACGACAGAAAAGCCAATGGACAGGGCCGGGGAGCCCACAGGGCTGGTGCGGCGCGAGTCAGTGGAGGAGAAGATGCAGAGAGCCAGCTGGAAGGTCAGAATGAGCTCCACCACCACAGCCTGGCCCGGCGTCGTGTTGTTGTTGAGCTGCAAGGGGAGGCTGGGTTAGGGCCTCAGTGCTTCCCGCTGTGCGGCTGTTCAGCTCCCAAGGACACTCAGAGTCTGAGCACCCGGAAGCCAAGCCCTGCGTGTGCTGCCTCGGAGAGGCCATTCTTTGAAGAGCCTGTGCACTCCTTAGTTTGCACAAGCTTGAGGCTCAATCAAGCCTGTGGCTAAAGGGCAGAGTGTAGGGAACTGCTCTTGGATACCGTCCCGTCAACGGCTCGGCCCAATCCCCAGCCCTCACAGGCCAGCTTTTACCCTCCCTCCTGTGGGCAGCTGCCCAGTTTGCCTACTGCAAACTGCCCCCAGCCTCCTACCCGTGCCCAGTCCTCTGTTGGTGCCAACCTCAAACCCGTCTCTCCAGTGTGGCTGACTCACAGCTTGACAATAGCCATGAAAATCCTCCTCTGTATTTGATTAATGAACCCAGTTTTTATGGGACAGGGGGCTGAACCCGGGGCTGCTGAAGAGGGGAGGCTGAAGAGAGGGAGGAGAGGGGTGAGGAAAGGGGAACCGACATTTGACAGAGACCACTGGCACCGCATCAGGGGTCCCATTTAAGCGTAACCCTTATGACACCTATTGTGGTTTGACCACCCCTGTGTACTGGCCAAGAAGAGTAAAGCACAGAGCTGGTTGCGGTGGTGCACACCTGTGATCCCAGCACTTGGGAGGCTGAGGCAGGAGGATTGCCATGAGTTCAAGGCCAGCCTGGGTTATACAGTGAGTTCAAGACCAGCCTGAACTACACAGGAAGGTCCCGCCTCAAAAATAAATAAAATAAAATAAGATAGTGAAGCACAGAGACACTATGGTTACCCCAAACCAGGATTGCAACTAGCTTCTCTCCAGTAGTTCCATTAAAACTACTCCACTGAAGCAGACAAAAGAAGTGAGGGGCTCAAGAGAACTCAAAGGTGAGACCAGAATGAAGGCAGAAGGAGCCGGGTGGGACAATAGGAGGGAAGGGGATGAAGGAGACGGATGTGAAGTGGGGTGGCTCTGGTGGGGGCACAGGTCTGCTGGAAGTCATCTGCTTGGCCTTCCTGGCAAGAGTGTGCGGGCCCACTCAGTGGACCCATTCTCAAGGTACCTGAGTCCTGGGGACTTGGTCCTGAGCACACCCCAGGAGTCCTGCCCACCCTTCCCTCTGTGGGATGGGCACTCACCGCATTGACGGCCAGGTTGCCCCGGGCATTGGTCGGTGCCACCCCGTAGAGAATGCCAGCTCCGGCAATGGCACCCACCAGCTGAGCTGCCACGTAGAAGACAGCCCGGAGCAGCGAGATCTGGTTGCCTACTAAGAGCGCCAGAGTGACAGCGGGGTTGATGTGGCCTCCACTCACGGGTCCCAGGGCCTGGGCCAGGGTGCCTATGGCCAAGCCAAAGGCCATCGAGATCTGCAGAATGGAGGGCAGTGCCGATGGCCACTTGAGGGCCGAGCCGAGACCGAAGAAGACAAAGATGAGGGTGGCCAGGAACTCGGCGAAGACCGCCTTGAGGAAGGCTACGGAGCACACCTCCTTCTTCATGGTGGCCTTGGGGGCCCGGCCGTGGCGGCAGGGGGCGGCCGTCGGAGCG